TGGGATGTTGAGACTACAGGGGACAGGGGCAGGCTACCAGCAGGGTTTGTTCATATGGAAGCAAATTTCTCATCCTTCTTATGTCACCTTTTCCTCATTCATCTTAGGCAAAGACTCACTTGGTGTTTTAGTAAATGTGTTCTAAAACACTAGATGTAATTTTTTCCCCAAGTTTTGTGTTTCTACTTTATTTTTTTCCCCATTTGTTTTTATTAGTTGGAGGCTAAATACTTTACAATATTGTAGTGGTTTTTGACATACATTGACATGAATCAGCCATGGATTTACATGTGTTCTCCATCCTGAACCCCCTCCCACCTCCCTCCCCACCCCATCCCTCTGGGTCATCCCAGTGCACCAGCCCCGAGCACTTGTCTCATGCATACAACCTGGACTGGTGATCTGTTTCTCACTTGATAATATACATGTTTTGATGCTGTTCTCTCAGGTCATCCCACCCTTGCCTTCTCCCATAGAGTCCAAAATTCTGTTCTGTACATCTGTGTCTCTTTTTCTGTCTTGCATATAGGGTTATTGTTACTATCTTTCTAAATTCCATATATATGCGTTAGTATACTGTATTGGTCTTTATCTTTCTGGCTTCACTCTGTATAATGGGCTCCAGTTTCATCCATCTCATTAGAACTGATTCAAATGTATTCTTTTTAATGATTGAATAATATTCCATTGTGTATATGTACCACAGCTTTCTTATCCATTCATCTGCTGATGGGCGTCTAGGTTGCTTCCATGTCCTGGCTATTATAAACAGTGCTGCGATGAACATTGGGGTGCAATGTTCTGTCTCTTTCAGATCTGGTTTCTCGGTGTGCATGCCCAGGAGTGGGATTGCTGGGTCATATGGCAGTTCTATTTCCAGTTTTTAAAGAAATTTCCACATTGTTCTCCATAGAAGAGGATCTTACTGTGATTTATGTCAGAGAGTGTTTTGCCTATGTTCTCCTCTAGGAGTTTTATAGTTTCTGGCCTTACATTTAGATCTTTAATCCATGTTGAGTTTATTTTTGTGTACGGTGTTAGAAAGTGTTCTAGTTTCATTCTTTTACAAGTGGTTGACCAGTTTTCCCAGCACAAAAATATGGAATGCTTCATGAATTTGCATGTCATCCTTGCACAGGGGCCATGCTAATCTTCTCTGTATCATTCCAATTTTAGTATATGTGCTGCCAAAGCGAGCTGGATGTAATATTTATTGAGCATCCACAGTGTACCAAACAATGTACTAAGGATTTATTACCTTGAAATATTTTGGCTTAAGTTTAAAGCTATTCTCTTCTCGTCTTATAGAAGAGAGTGAATCTGTAAATTTTTCTTTTAGATTAGTCATGAGTGTAGCATTTTGTGAAAATGCCATTTTAATATGCTAATAATAAAGGTGAAGCTGGTTTGTGTATATAAATGGAAGAGATTTATGCGTATTGATTTTGTTTCTTGAAAGCTTACTGAATTCATTGATGAGCTTTAGTAGTTTTCTGGTAGCAGCTTTAGAAATTTCTCTGTATAGTATCATGTCATTTGCAAACAGTGAAAATTTTACTTCTTTTCCAATTTGGATTCCTTTATTTCTTTGTCTTCTCTGATTGCTGTGGCTAAGACTTTAAAAACTATGTTGAATAAGAGTGGCAAGAATGGGCATCCTTTTTTTGTTCCTGATCTTAGAGGAAATACTTTCAACTTTTCACCATTGAGTATGTTAGCTGTGAGTTTGTGTCATATGGCCTTTATTTTCTTTAGGTAAGTTCCCTCTATGCCCACTTTCTGCAAATATTTTGTATCATAAATGGGTGTTGAATTTTGTTGAAAGCTTTTTTTGCATTTATTGAGATGGTCATATGGCTTTTATTCTTCAATTTGTTAATATCATATATCACATTGATGGATTTGCATATACTGAAGTGTTCTTGCCTCCCTGAAATAGATCCTACTTGATCATGGTGTGTAATCTTTTTAATGTGTTGTTGGATTTGATTTGCTAATATTTTGTTGAGGATTTTTATTTCTATGTTCATCAGTGAGATTGGCTTGTAATTTTCTTTTTTTATGGTATCTTTGTCTTTGAAGCCATCAGGTCCTGGACTTTTGTTTTTTGGGAGGTTTTTACTCACAGTTTCAATTTCGGTATTTATGATTAGTCTGTTCATATTTTCTATTTCTTCCTGGTTCAAACTTTAATCTTGGAAGGTTTTACCTTTCTAAACACTTGTCCATTTCTTCCAGGTTGTCCACTTTCTTGGCATATATTTGCTTGTAGTAATCTCTCATATTTCTTTGTATTTCTTTAGTGTCCATTGTAACTTCTCCTTTTTCATTTCTTTTTTTTCCCATTTATTTTTATTAGTTGGAGGCTAATTACTTTACATCATTGCAGTGGTTTTTGTCATATCTCCTTTTTCATTTCTAACTTTGTTGATTTGAGCCCTCTTCCTTTTTTTCTTGATAAATCTGGTTAAAGACTTATCAATTTTGCTTATATTTTTGATGAACCAGCTTTTAGTTTCATTGCTCTTTTCTGTTGTTTTCTTTATCTCTATTTAATCCACTTCTGCTCTGATATTTATCATTTTTTCCCTCTCCTATCTTTGAATTTTGTTTGTACTTCTTTCTCTAGTTGCTTGAGGTATAAGGTTAGGTTGTCTATTTGAGATTTTTATTGTTTTCTGAGATAAGATTGTATTAGTATAAACTTCCCTCTTAGAACTGCTTTTGCTGTATCCCATAGGTTTAGGATCATTGTGTTTTCATTTATCTCTAGGCATTTTTTGGTTTTCTCTTTGATTTCTTCAGTGATGCGTTGGTTGCTCAGTAAGATATTATTTAGCTTTCATCTCTCTCTCTCTCTCTCTTTTTTTCTTTTTTTTACAGTTTTCCCCTTGTAGTTGATTTGTAATCCATAATGTTGTGGATGGATAAGATGGTTGACATGATTTCAGTGTTCTTAAATTTATTGAGGGTTGCTTTGTGGCCCAGCATGTTAGTTATCCTGGAGAATGTTCCATGTGCACTTGAGGAGAATGTGTATTCTGCTGCTTTCATATAGAATGTCATATAAATATCAATTATGTCCATATGGTCTAATATGTCATTTAAGGCCTCTGTTTCCTTATTGATTGTTCTGTCTGTATGATCTGTCCATTGATGTAAGTGGAGTGCTAAAGTCCCCCACTATTTTTGTGCCAATGTTGATTTCTCCTTTTATGAAAAGACAACGCACAGAATAGAAGAAAATATTTGCAAATGAAGTGATTGACAAGGGATTAATCTCCAAAATAAATAACAGCTCATGCAGCTCCATATATATATATAAAATAAAAAAAATTGGCAGAAGGTCTAAATAGACATTTCTCAAAAGGAAACATACAGATGGCCAAAAATCACATGAAAAGATGCTTAACATTGTTAATTATTACAGAAATGCCAATCAAACTACTAAGAGTTGTCACCTGACCCCAGTCAGAATAACTATCATCAAAAAGTCTGAAAATAATAAATGCTGGAGAAGATGTGGAAAGTAAACCTCCTACACTGTTGGTGAGAATGGAGGTTCCTCAAAAAAAAAAAAACCTAAAAAATAGAACTACCACATGATCCAGTAATCCCTCTAAGTGGGCATGTATCTGGAGGAAACCATAATTTGAAAAGACACATGCACCTCGGTGTTCATTGCATCACTATTTACAATAGTCTAGAAGCAATATGAGTCTATTGACAGAGAAATGGATAAAGAAGATGTTGTATGTATATACAATGAAATATTACTCAGTCACAAAAAAGAATGAAATAATACCATTTGCAATCACATGGATGGGCTTAGAGATTATAATACTGAGTGAAGTAAGTCGGATAGAGAAGGACAAATATCATATGGTATCAGTTATATGTGGAATCTAAAAAAATGATGCAAACAAACGTTGTTCCAAACAGACTTCAAAAACAAACTTATGGTTTTCAAAGGGGAAAGGCAGGGGGAGGAATAAATTAAGACTTTGAGGTGAACATTTTCACACTGCTATATGTGAAATTGTTATTAATAATTAACAAGGACCTACTGTATAGCATGGGGCCTCCCACGTGGTTAAGTGGTGAAGTATCCACCTGCTAATGCAGGAGATGCAGGTGATGTAGTTTTGATCCCTGGGTCAGGAAGATCCCTTAGAGGGGGAAATGTCAACCCATTCTAGTATTCTTTCCTGGAGAATCCCATGGACAGAGGAGCCTGGCAGGCTACAGTCCATAAGGTTGCAAAGCATCATACAGTGAGCAGACAGCACTGTGTAGCACAGGGAACTCTACTCAGTAATCTGTGATAACCTATATGGGAGAAGGATCTCAAAAAGAATAGATATATGTATATGTATAACTGAATCACTTTGCTGTATACCTGAAACTAACATAGCATTGGAAATCAACTATACTTTACTGTGCCAGTAAAGGTCTACATAGTCAAAGCTTTGGTTTTTCCAGTAGTCATGTACAGATGTGAGAGTTGGACCATAAAGAAGGTTGAACACTGAAGAATTAATGCTTTCAAACTGTGGTGCTGGAGAAGACTCTAAAGAGTCCCTTTGACTTCAAGGAGATCAAAGCAGTCAATCCTAAAGGAAATCAATCCTGAATATTTATTGGAAGGACTGATGCTGAAACTGAAGCTCCAATCCTTTGGCCACCTGATGCAAAGAGTCAACTCAGTGGAAAAGACCTTAATGCTAGGAAAGATTGAGGGCACAAGGAGAAGGGAGTGACAGAGGATGAGATAGTTAAATGGCATCACTGACTCAATGGACATGAGTTTGAACAAACTCTGAGAGACAGCGAAGGACAGGGAAGCCTTGCATGCTGTAGTCCATGGGGTCACAAAGAAATGGACATGACTTAGCAACTGAACCACAGCAAAAATTAAATTAAAAAAAAGTGAAACTTGTGATAAGAAAAACTGGTATGGCTTGTATTTCTAATTAAGGTTTCTTTTCCTTTCCTTTTAGGAAACCTTCAGAGTACTATTACCGACATATTTTGAGGGCTTACTTACTTACTATCAAAACTATGACCCCTCTGATTCTGGGACTTTGTTCAAAGCCTATGGCTACACTGCTGTACTGAATGTCTTCCTTGTCATTTGGGCAATTCTGCAGCACTTTTTCTCATATTACGCTCAGCGTATAGGAATGAGATTAAGAGTAGCCATGTGCCATATGATTTACCGCAAGGTAAGTGTCACTTGGTACGAAAGTTTGTACCTCCTCTGAAGAATCAGGAGCATTTTGGGAAAGTTCTCTGTAGATTAAAAATTTTGTAACTGGTGTCCTTTACGCCTTACCAGAGATACCCGATATTTGTTTCAAGCCAATTTGTTGTTGTTTGAGCAAACTTTACCAATATATGATGAAAAGTTTTGTTTGGAGATCAGACCAGGGCTGCCTTTGATAACTTTATGCATATGCTGGTGCATAATACCCGCTAAACTTATATTGAAATCTAATTAAAAAATAGGTATCAAAATTATCAAACTGATTTTCAATGTTTTCTTGCCTAAATCTTATTGTGATATTCATGGAAATTTTGTTGTTTTTCATTTAAACCTTCATTTACATCAAAGTTGTGTTTAAAAGTGACTTCAATGATTGGATCTATAACATTAAATTTAGGAGAAAAATATGTGTTTAATAAAATAAATGATTATATTTTAAATGATGCATCTAGTCATGTTTAATATAATTGTGCTTACTAAATAAAAATATAAGTGAAAGCTGTGCCAAATTAGACTCACTCATGATATTCTGTAGGTATGATTGTTTTTGATAATATTAAAGAAAATGGTTGAATGGAAGAAAACTTGAAATTTTAATTTGTTTTTAGCAATTTTAGAGGGTATTTATGTTGCCATTCATTGAAGTTATTTTCTTAATACAATATTTGCTTTTTTTTTAGTATGCATTATAGCAGCTTTAATAAAATCTGGTTTGATGTTTCTAATGTTTTGTATTGAGAAATGCTATAAAATTATTCTATATTTTACTCTAGTCTTATCTAGTATAAAAGGAGTTAAGTATTTCAGATGTCTTTACAAATGAACTGCCACAGATGCACCCGTGTCATGTGCTGGAGAGCTCTTGATAAACAAGATCTTAGATATCTCTCCTTCCTGGGCTGTTTCATTTTTAAAACATTCTTATTTAACCATGTTGTATACTTGAAATTTTCTGAGAGAGTAGATTATAAGTGTTTTCACTGCACACACAAAAAGATAACTACATGAGGCAATGGATATGTTAACTGTTTTAACTACAGTAATCATTTCCCAGTGTACATTTATGTCAAACATCTTGTTGTGCATATATATATACACATATGTATATATATATGTGTATATATATATACATATTTCATTAAAAATAAACAAAATCCTTATTGAAAGATAAAGCCAAGCAATTTAAATGAAAACAAGCACTTCTTTTACTTGGTAGTTACTTATCTAGAACTTCTATTTTTTAGGAATATTTTTCTCAGCAAATTAAAGATATCTTTCCTCATCCTTTTCTGAGCAGAGTCTTGTTAATCTTTGGGCTATGTGAACCTAATTCATGGACCTAACATTCCAGGTTCCTATACAATATTGTTTTTTACATCATTGGACTTTCCTTTCACCACCAGATATATCCACAATGGGGCATTGTTTTCATTTTGGTTGAGCCTCTTCATTCCTTCTGGAGCTATTTCTTCACTCTTCTCCAGTAGTATGTTGGGCATCTAGTGACCTGGGGAGTTCATCTTTTAGTGTCAAATCTTTTTGCCTTTTCATATTGTTCGTGGGATTCTCAAGGCAAGAATGCTGAAGTGGTTTGCATTACCTTCTCTAGTGGACCACTTTTTTCAGCTGAGCTGTTTCAAATCTTAAAAGATGATGCTGTTAAAATGCTACACTCTGTATGCCAGCAAATTTGGAAAAATCAGCAGTGGCCACAGCGCTGGAAAAGGTCAGTTTTCATACCAATCCCAAAGAAAGGCAATGCCAAATAATGTTCAAACTACTGCACAATTGCACTCATTTCACATGCTAGCAAAGTAATGCTTAAAACTCTCCAACCTAGGCTTCAACAGTGCATGCACCAAAAGCTTCCAGATTTTCAAGCTAGATTTAGAAAAGGCAGAGGAACCAGAGATCAAATTGCCAACATCTGTTGGATCACTGAAAACACAAGAGAATTCCAGAAAACATCTACTTCTGCTTCATTGACTACACAAAAACTTTCTACTTTGTGGATCACAACAAACTCTGGAAGATTCTTAAAGTGATGGGAATACCAGAACACCATACCTGCCTCCTGAGAAACCTGTATGCAGATCAAGAAGCCACAGTTAGAACTGGACATGGAACAATGGGCTGATTCCAAATTGGGAAAGGAGTACATCAAGGCTGTATATTGTCACCCTTGTTATTTAACTTCTATTCAGAGCACATCATGCAAAATGCCAGGCTGAATGAAGCATAAGCTGAAATCAAGACTGCTGGGAGAAATATCAATAACCTCAAATATGTAGATAAAACCACCTTTAGGGCAGAAAGCAGAGAAACTAAAGAGCCTCATGATGAAAGACGAGAGTTAAAAAGCTGGCTTAAAACTCAGCATTCAAAAAACAAAGATCATGGCATCCAGTCCCATCACTTCATGGCAAATATGTGGGGAAACAATGGAAACAGTTTCAGACTTTATATTTGTGGGGGGCTCCAAAATCACCACAGATGGTGATTACATCCTTGAAATTAAAAGACGCTTGCTCCTTGGAAGAAAAGCTATGACCAACCTAGGCAGCATATTGAAAAGCAAAGACATTACTTTACCAACAAAGGTCTGTCTAGTCAAAGCTATGTTTTTTTTCCAGTAGTCATGTAGGCATATGAGAGTTGGAACATAAAGAAAGCTGAGCACCAAAGAATTGATGCTTTTGAACTGTGGTGTTGGAGAAGACTCTTGAGAGTCCCTTGGAAGTCATGTATGGGTGTGAGAGTTGGACTATAAAGAAGGCTTAGTGCTAAAGAATTGATGCTTTTGAACTGTGGTGTTGGAGAAGACTCTTGAGAGTCCCTTGGACTGCAAGGAGATCAAACCAGTCAATTCTAAAGGAAATCAATGCTGAATATTCATTGGAAGGACTGATGCTAAAGCTGAAACTCCAACACTTTGGCTACCTGACGCGAAGAGCTGACTTATTGGAAAAGACCCTGTTGCTGGCAAAGATTGAGGGCAGGAGGAGAAGGGGATGACAGAGGATGAGATGGTTGGATGGCATCACCAACTCCATGGACGTGAGTATGAACTAGCTCCGGGAATTGTTGATGAGCAGGACAGCCTGATGTTCTGCAGTCTATGGGGTTGCAAAGAGTCGGACATGACTGATCAATTGAAGAACAACAAGTGTGAAACTAAGGCCTGGTATGTCACTGTCAGTCATAGGCTGTAGAACATAAGCTAATTTGTTCCTAAGTGATGTGGAAATGCAACAATGCCCATATACTCCAGTCAATTGTCTTCCTTGTCCTCCATCATCATGTTTGTTATTCTCTTGCACCTTCTACCATTTAGAAGATGAATAGTCAGGTTTCCCTACAAATTATCTGGAAGTTTGTCTTTGCAGATCATGTTTAACTCCCATAAATAAATAAATAGGAAATTTCACCAGAAGTACACTATGAAACTCTTATATTAGTTGTGAGGTGATGTTTCACTCAAAGTTTACTCTTTGATCCACATAAGTCCTTGTCCACCTGATTTTCTTTCTCTTCCCACTAGTTCTTTGGAATGTTGCCTTTGAGAAACTGAACCCTTCCTGGCATGCTGCTTGAAAGTGAAAGTGACAGTCTTAGTTGATCAGTCATGTTCAACTCTTTGCGACTCCATGGACTGCAACCTGCCAGGCTTCTTGGTCTATGGAATTCTCTGGGCAAGAATACTGGAGTGGGTTGTCATGCCCTTCTCCAGGGGGCCATGTTACTTACATGAAAGTAAACATTTGCTAAAGGCATTAATTTGCCTCCTTGATTAGCCTTAAGGAATTGTTTCTTTTTCCATTTTTTAGAAAATTTTATATAATGTTTATAAATTACACTCCATTTACAGTTATTATAAGATATTGGCTGTATTCCCTGTGTTGTATTATATATCATTGTAGGCTACCTTACACCCAATAGTTTGTACCTCCCTCTCCCCCATCACTATATGGCTCCCCCACTTCACTGGTAACCACTAGTTTGTCCTCTATATCTGTGAATCTATTTCTCTTTTGTTTTATTCACTAGTTTGTTGTATTTTTAGGCTCCACTTATAAGCAATATCATACAGCATTTATCTCTCTCTCTCTCTCTGACCTGTTTCATTTAGCATCAGTTCCATTCAGTTCAGTCACTCAGTCGTGTCTGACTCTTTGTGACACCATGGATGGCAGCATGCCAGGCTTCCCTGCCCATCACCAACTTCTGGAGCTTGCTCAAACTCATGTCCATTGAGTTGGTGTTGCCATGCAACCATCTCATCCTCTGTCATCCCCTTCTCCTCCCGCCGTCCATCTTTCCCAGCATCAGGGTTTTTTCCAATGAGTCAGTTCTTGGCATCAGGTGGCCAAGGTATTGGAGTTTCAGCTTCAACATCAGTCCTTCTAATGAATATTTAAGATTGATTTCTTATGGGATTGACTGGTTTGATCTCCGTGCAGTCAAGGGACTCTCAAGAGTCTTCTCCAACACCACAGTTCAAAAGCATCAATTCTTCGGTGCTCAGTTTTCTTTATAGTCCAACTCTCACATCCATACATGACTCCTGGAAAACCCATAGCCTTGACTAGATGGACCTTTGTTGACAAAGTGATGTCTTTGCTTTTTAATATGCTGTTTAGCTTGGTCATAGCTTTTCTTCCAAGGATCTTGTGTCTTTTAGTTTCATGGGTGCAGTTGCCATCTGCAGTAATTTTGCTCCCCCCCACCAAAAAAAAGTCTGTGGATGGATACTTAAGTTGCTTGCATATCCTGACAATGGTAAATAATGCTTATATGAACACTGTGGTACATGTATCTTTTTTTTTTTTTAATCTTTTTTGAAGTAGTGTTTTTGTATCACAGGAAGTTGAATTGCTGGGCCATGTGGTAGTTTTATTTTTAGTTCTTTGACAAACCTTCATACAGTTCTTCACAGTGGCTGTCCAATATACATTTCCA